ATATATATTTTAATGTCTATATATAACAGTTTAGCAATCTCTTTAAGATTTTTGATACTTTATATTATAAATGAATCAAGTTTAGTTTAGATAAGCAAAGTATAATTTCTCCTGGCTTAAAGTCTGCACAAAATAAATCTTTTATAAAGCATTTAAAAATCATAAGAAAGATAATATGCTTGTAGCTTCTAATTTATGAAGATAATTCAGCTGAGCTTGCAATTGGAAAATAAAATATATGTATATACTTTTAGACATATATATAGTTAGAGACTTGGTAACTGTTATACACGTGCCTATGCCTACGTTTTAAGCGCTGTTATATTGATGTTTCTGCATCTATAGGTTTTTTCACATACTCGTAATGGCTTTTACTATGCAATTATAAATTGATTACGTTTAGATCCCCAGCAAAGGACAATATGCACCGTATATGTACAGTCTGCACAAAATATGTCTGTTATAAATCATTTAAAAATCGTAAGAAAGCGAGTGCGCTTGGGGCCTCTACTAATTGCATTCATCAAGGAAATTGAGCTCAACTTGAAATTAAAATATAAAATATGAATGGCTTGGTTTATATACATACACATACATATATATGCCTATATGCATACATCTATATAGTTATATATGTATAAGATATATGCATGCAGCTAGTAACTGTTATACGCTCTTGGATGCCAGCTGAGCAAGTGCTTCGTTTTGCGATGCAAAGTGAATGCTGAAATCGAGTAGATATATTTTATTCAGAGCCTCGCGCAGCGGCATTTGGGCCACATTTGCCTTAATGGCCGTAAGAAGCACTCAACAATCAAACCGGGCTGGCTCAAGTCAACGAAAATCTAACGACAGGTGTGTGCGTCTGTGTGTGTGTGCTTGTGTATTTGAAGATATGCTTTTTCTTTTTGGCAGATGCTTGTGTTGGGGAGCCTGTGAATGACATGACATTTGACATAGTTAAGTTCACCTTTACACACGCGCAAGCAGGTAAAAAATATGCCTATTCTGGTAAAATGAGCAAACGGCGCTGGCATGCATAAAATATTACAATATATCAAAAGGATTGCTAATACATGGGGTGGCTGTGCCACCCCTAACTACCCTTAGCCGCCCTCGTCCCCCACCCGAGGAGAAGACGAGAAGAAAAATGGAAAAATGAAACCATCGCAGGTGTCTGTCTGCCTGTCTGTCTGTCGCTCCGTATCTATCTGCGGCATCTAGTGACAAGGATGCTGCTGCACACTTTTGATTTTACACGCTGCTTACCTGTGTGTGTACCTGTGCGCCGGCGTCTGTCTGCGTGGGCGTGGCTGGCTGCCTATGCATAAAGTGTGCTCCATTTGAATATGGCAAGTGGCATTGGATCGAGCAATCGAGCACAAGCCGGGTGGCACACACACACACAGACACACACACACTTATATTCGATATGATTGCCACTCGTGTATGCGGGGCACGCTTATCGGGCATGCCACACAATTATTGTGGCTTAATTCAGACATTATTAATCGACAATCGTGTTGCAGGCAATTTATTTGCCACTCAAGCAAAATGCTGAATGCCTATTAGAGTGTCCATTTATTTACTTTTTGCTGTTGATAGATGTAGAGCGCGACATTTGCGTGGCATAGAGAGTGTGAGATGGGACTGCTCGACTACCAGATACCCTAGACTCAAGGCAGTTTCAAACATCTGCGCCTCTTCTAGCCGAAATCGAAAGAATAAATAAGTTTTTATACCCTGCACAGTCCAAGCAGGAAGCTGTCCATGGTAGGCACTGGCGAGGCGGTGTCGGGGCGTGTGGCAGAGCTATTACTCAGCATTATGCAAGTGCATGGCAACTAAACCGACAAACAAATGCAAACTTATCAAAATGACAGCGTAACAAAATAGAAATGAGTCGGTGATAGAAAAAAGTCGTTCGTTCCTCTTATTATTTTCATTATTATATTATGTTGATTAAAGTCTATTAATAGGCTGCATATCATATATGCGAGGGTGGTCTTAAGAGTGTCGGATCAACTTGGAAATCATTAACAAGCATGACTTAGTTAATGAGATTTCTGGGCTTAAACTTTCAGCAGGGAACAGACCCAATGGACCATACTTTTGATGAGGAATACGAAAAGAGTTGATTTGAATAACATAATAAACATCATTAAATTCCTCAAACACAATCTTTGGCTATGAAAGCTTTATAAGCTGAGTAGAGTAATGGAAATGGCAGGTCTTCATAGGGTGGCTCTTCCTATATCTTGGCCCACAGATTTTAGTTTTTAGAGGATTTCGTAAGAAGAAGCACAGGAGCAAGTATTAATGCGTAATATAGCAAGTATATATAGTCTATAAATCCAAATCAAGCTACAAACTTAAACGATTTATTCTCTGAATTCAGGGTTTAATGAGTGGGTACAAGCGTCTTAATTCCATTCAGTAATCTCTTTTCTTTTTTTTTTTATCATA